GTCATTAGAGGGACAACACAGACAGGAAGGTTTGGAGAAAAAGCTAGAGAAGCCAGCTTGAGATGGTTTGGACATGTGCAGAGGAGGGACAGTGGATACATTGGTAGACAAATGTTAGAGATGGAGCTACCAGCTAGGAGACAAAGAGGAGATATATGGATGCAGTGAGGGAGGACATGCAGATAGTTGGAGTCAGAGTAGAAGATACAGAGAACAGGGAGAGATGGAAATCAATGATTCGCTGTGGCAACCCCTGGAACAAACAAAAGGGACAAAGCCGAAAGAAAAAGAAGATCTCCATGTCTTCCATCACTACATCCACAAATCTCAATCTCATCTTCTTCCTCTTGTCATCCTGCCTGGCAGCGCCATCTACAGCATATCTCACTATCTCCACCTTTAAGCCCTCTGCTGTTGGAGTCCCTGAGGGATTTACCTTTGAACCCGAGGTAGGACAAAAACAAAGAGTGCTCTTCTTCCTCTGGAATATAAATAATTTAATGTTTTAGAGTCACAACAAACACATTTATAATCAACCGGACTTTTCTCTGCAGCCTCAGTGTCAGTGAATGTCACAAGTTTGGACAGTTTGAACCATTCTTTTGATTTAAATGTCCATATATTATGGCAGTAAACAATGTTTGGACATCTTTTAAACATCTGAATGAATCCAGGAGTCTAAAGAAGGAGAAAATTCGAAAGTAAAAATGTAGGGATTCAACCGAATGTTAAAAGCAAATGTGCCGAGATTTTAAATTCATGTTTAAATCTTTTGTTTCGAGTTAATCTTGAAAAATAAAAAAAGTACTTTAAAATCAAAAGGAGTGTGTTTTCAAGCTTCAAACCTACTTTAAAACAACTTCTCAAGTCATAAAAGACAAACGAAAAGATACAGCAATGTCCAATTCCACTCACATGACCCATGGCACTGACAAAGGAAGTCATGTGTGATTACATCGCAGCAAAGACAGGTGACATTCAAATGTTGTCAATTCTTCAATGAGGTTGTCTTCTGGTCTTTGTCTTGTTGTCTACAGGTCTATATTCTGTTGTCTCCAGGTCTTTGTCCCTTTGTCCTCAAGTCTTTGTCTTGTTATCTCCAGGTATATGTCCTGTTGGCCTCAGGTATTTGTCCCATGCCTCCACGTCTTTGTCCTATTGTCTTGAGGTCTTTGACTTCTTGTCTCCAGGCCTTTGTCCTGCTTTCTTCAGGTCTAAGTCTTGTTGTGTTCGGGTCTTTGTCCGTTGTCCTGAGGTCTTTATGTTCTAGTCTTAAGGTTTTTGTCTTCTTGTTCTCAGGTCTTTGTCTTCTTGTCTTTGTACCACTATCTTCAAATCCTTGTCTTGCCGTCGGGGGGTCCTTGTCTTGCTGTCTTTAGGTTGTGGAACTCTTAGTGTAGTCGTCCACTCCAGTGATGGTGGCTTTGCAGAAAAAACAGTCTTTGTTGTTCATCAGATGTTGGTTGATACAAGCCCTGAAAAACAAACACATTTGTCTCAAAGTGTCTTTCTTTCTCATTACGTTTCTATCCTGAAGTTCTTGTCCCTTTTTAAACAACGACCATTCAACAGTGTGTCTTTGACCCACACTCTGTCTGTTTATCGCTGGATCACTTGCTCTGTTTTACTTTCCTCAAAATGTCCCTTTGTCCAACTGTCTGTGTTCACTTCTCCCTACACTCTCAGCCTGTCCCCCAGCGTCCGTCAGTGTAGACTTACTTGCAGGACTTGTGTGAACAGGGTCTGAAGACAGCAGAGATGGAGTGAGCATAGCAGATGGGACACAGGTCCTCCTCACTGGTTGGCTAAGGGACAGAGAGAACATGGTTGATGACATCGTCATCTTATTATTTACTTGGGACAGAGAGAACATGGTTGATGACATCATCATCCACAGTGACATTACAACACATCTTATTATTTACTCACATCTTTAACAGCTCCGCTGTCATCCCCTAGAATTACTATTAAATCCCAGTGCATCACGAGAAGTGTTGTGCTGACACACCTCTGTTCCCACAACCAAAACCTACTTGTCCATCTGTCTCACACAGTTATACCTGACCTTCATTGTCCAGAGTAAAAAAAAATTAAAATTAAAATAAATCAGTGATTTTAGCTCACAGACCAAAGTCCATAGAGAAAATCAGTGATTTTAGCTCACAGAC